AACGAAGACGCTGAGAGACAGAGCTGCTCGTGTGGGTACAGAACACGATGGAGAGGGAACGCCTAGATGGAGAAGGAGCTCGTCGGACCGGAGAAGGTTCCACCGTGGCTGACCGGGCTCACACAGGTGTCAAGAGAGGATGCCACGCACAGGGGTCAGCTCCCTCTGCGTTGGTCCCGAGCTCCCCTCATCCCGCCAACACAGGGGAACTTTCTCTGATGATCTGAGCACCTTCTGCCTCGCGGGTGGAGGAGAGTCATGAAGACAGACTTGCTGTCTGAACTCTCGTTGGTGGAGCTGCGGTATCTGCCTTGCTCATGACTCCGGAACAGGGAAGCCTGGACTTCTTGAAGACCACAGGTATAGAATCCAGGTACAGCAGTGAGCCCTTCCTTGTCCTGTCCGACACTCTCTAAGGGGGTGGGTACAGTCTGCCATGTCCAGGGCAGCCCTGGGGTCAGTGCCCAGCCTTCCGTCTTGCCAAGGGACGATTCTCAGAGGGTCCCCAGCAGTCACGGTGACCATGAGTTCAGTTCCCCACCTGGCCCTTGCTTTCCCCCTTCCCCATCTCACTCTCCCAGTTCCCCACTCCTGCTTCGGGAGGCCACCTCTCCCCCAAAATCAACCCCCTTGCCTCAGGCTCGGCATTCGGGGGTCCCAGACCAGAGAAGAGGACAATATGAATCTGGCACCAGATGCTGGGCCTTTCGGCCAAGACACACACACACACACACACACACACACACACACACACACACGCACACACAGCTGGTGATATAAATGAGCACGTTCTTGGTCAGTGCCGCCCAAAGCCAGTGGGCTATTGTACCGTGTTAGAAATGCCCAATTTAGAAAGCCAAGGAAGTATTTTGTCCCGTCAATAAAATACATTTATACTCAACTAAAGCTGGAAAAAAGCAACAGATATTTATACCGCAACTGACATTTTTACATTAAAAATACTATATAAATGCACTGTGGCTCCCATCCAGGCTAGAGGCCATCGGAGCTCATGGTTCCCAAGGAATTCCTGATGCTCAGCTGGGCCTGGATCCCAGTTCCGGCCCCGGGGGCCCAGCCCGGTGTCAGCAGGAAGCCCACTAGCCTCCCGAGAGTACCACGAGTTGCGACCTTGAGTCACTTACATGTCGGGGCTCTGCTCAAATGTCACCCCCTCAAATCCCCAGACCCCCGTGCTGCTTTCCCAGGGCAGCTGCTATAACAGAATGCCAGCAGCTCGGTGACTTAAAACCAACTTATTCTCCTATAGCCTGGAGTCAGAACTCTGAAATGCGTTTCACTGGCTAAAGTCAAGGAATAGGCAGGTCTGGTTCCTTCGGAGGCTCCAAAGGTAGAACCCATCTCCCTGCCTTTTTCAGCTTCTAGCAGCACCTGGATTCCTGCCCTGTGGTCCCTCCCTCCACCTGCAAAGCACATCCCCCTAATCTGTCTCCATCATCTCATGGACTTCTCCTCTGTAGTCAGATCTCCCTTTGCCTGGCTTTTAAAATGTCACCTGTCAGGTCCTGGCCAGGCAGCTCAGTTGGTTAGAGCATCGTCCTGACATGCCAAGGTTCTAGGTTCGATCCCCTGTCAGGGCACATACAAGAAGCAACCAATGAATGCATGAATAAGTGGAAAAACAAATTGATGTTTCTCTCTCTCTCTCTCTAAAAATCAACAAATAAAAATACTTTTTTAAATGACACATCATTACATTATATTAATAGTCACAGGTTCTAGAGATTAGGATGTGTATATCTTTGGGGGCCATCATTCACCCCAACACATTCCCTACTTAAAACAGCACACCTTTCACTCCCCCAACTCCCTCACCGGCTTCACGTGTCACTCCTGACATTGTTTGTTGCTTGTGATTTCCTTTCTCTTCTACTAGAATAAGTGCTTTATGGAGGCAGTTGGCTCCCCTAGACTACCTGGAACAGAGCAGGCACTCAGTAAATGGCCATGGCACCCCCCAAGCAATCATCAGGAACTCACCTGTCTCATTCACTGTTGTATCCCAGCTCCAGGACTGCACTGGGCACACAGCAAGATGCTCCATTAGCAAGACCTGTTCCTGAACATAAAACCAAGTCCCCAGGGGCCTGTGATCTGCACATCGGGTTGCCTCCCGTGTGGTCCCAGGTGCTTCTCTCCCCCAAGCCCATGGCCCTGCAAGCTCCCCTTCAGCACATCCCTCTCTGCTCACGAACACAAACTGCCTGCTTCCTCCTGCCACCTGCCCATTTCAGGGCTCTCCCCAATCTGGCCTATCCTATCCCCAGCCTCCTTAGCCCCTCCTGCCAATTTCCTTCACTCTGGCCAGGTCAGCTGCCCACCCTAACCCTGCACACACAGCCCACCTCCTCCTGTAGGTAGGGAATGCCTCCTCGGTACCCTCCTTCCAGGCCCAGCTCCCACCCACCATGACTCCAGGTGGCGGTGACACCTCTGCCACCCCACTAAAGGACAGCACTTCGGGGCAGGCAGACCTACGCAGGTGAGCTCATAGCCTCCGGTTCCCTGGGGCTAAGTCTCTGACGAGCACTTATGCTCCCTGAGGAACAAGCCCTTACATTTCTCCAGTGCCCTCCAGCTCCTGGGCCTTGCATCAGATGGACCAGGAGGTCAGGCTCTGACTGGGCACAGGACGTCCATGACTGCATGGCCAGTCTCCACCGCAGGAAAGCAACCCACCCAGCGTCAGCGTGACGACGGGTCCAAACACAGAAGTGGACAAACCTAGCGAAGCCACAGGTCTGCCCACAAGTGCCACCAGCCCACAGGAGCAGGCGATGCCCCTCCTCACTGAGAGGGGCCCAGGCACCACAGGAAACCAAAATCGAAGTATAGCCGGGAGTGAGGGGGGATCAGGGTTTCTGGTAATCAGAAATCCAGGACACCCAGTGAAAGTGAATTTCAGATACACAACAATTTTATTAGTGTATGTGTGTCCCATAGGGTCAAATGTTCCTGGGTGTCCTGCACTTTTATTTGCTAAACCTGGCACCCCAAGGGGGCTACAGGGGTGCCCCCCCAGACTGTGCCACTCAGAGGGATTTCCCAAGACTTGCGGCCTCAAGGGGAGAGGTGGGAGATGGCCTGGCCGGGGGCAGGGTGACCAGAAGGCAAGCTCACCACGGGGCTAACGTCCACTTCTTCCAGAGTTCGCTAACTAAGAGGTGCTCTCCGTGCGATTTCCTTCTCATTGAAGAGCTTTTTAAAAATAAAATCTTTCTTGCCAGCTGTAAAAAGGGGTTGCCTCAATACTATTTTTCCATTCCGGCATAATTCTTCAAGAATTCACAAACAAAGCTGCGGCCCTCCGACAACAAAGATCGCCATGGAGACAGATCACCTCCATCATGACTTCACCTCCCATTCCACCAGCACGGACCGCAGATTGTTACCAGAAGAATTCTTGTGAAAACAAACACAAGCCCACGGCAGGCATGGCAGGAAACGTAGCAGCTCTTTCTAATTTTAACTTTCTCCAGGAATGCATTCCTGCCGAACGGCTGGGCACATTCTCTCCAGGCCCCGCGTTCCTTCAGGAAAGCGGTCACCCCCGGAGTCCACAGCGGCTGGCAGAAGGGATGAGCCCAAGCTGGTCTCTCTAAGAGGCCAAAACATGGTATTTGAACAGGAAAGCACTCCCCGACCAGAGGGTGAGCCACAGAGGGGGACAGAGGGAGCGGACTCGCCACAGGAAGGCAGCGTCCAATAATTACCATAAGCAGGAGCCAGTTTCCCAGGCCCAGGGCCAAAGCAAGGGGACCACGGGCCAGAAGTGAGAACACCTCACCAACAATCCTGCAGGTTACCACCCTGGGACAGACTTCAGAACAAGCCTCATTGGATTTTTAAAGCCCATGTGGCCAGGGGACCAACGGGGAGGCAACATTTGCAATGCTTACAGCCAAAAAAGGCTTATTTTCCAGAAAATTCCAGAGGACTACAATTCAAGAAGAAAAATGGGCAAACACCATGAAAAGGATCTTTGCATGAGAAGAAACCAGAATAGCCAATAAGCATTAGTTTGTGGCTAATGATAAGGAACGCATAAAAATTAAAACCGAGTCAGATACCTTCGCATATCCACCAGTCCAGACATCCCCCCCAAAGGAAGTCCGCTGAGGGCTCAGCTCCTTGCCTCCTGGGGCTATGTGACTGCTTGCTTCCTCAAAGCCAGCAAGACAAAGTCTGTCATCAAGAAGCTGGACTTTCACAGGAAGGCCTCCGGTGAAATCTAATCTTGGGCGTGGCCTCCATCACTTTTGATGGATCCTATCAGTTAGAAGCAGGTTGCCAGGCCAGCCCCATCTGGGCGGGATCACCGGGGGTGTAAATACGGGGAGGTGGGAGTCATTAGGGGTCATGTGAGAGCTGGCCAGCCACAAACTGAGCACAGTTCCATTTACATAGACAGAGGTTAAACAGTTTTAAGAAATGGCATTGCATAGGGACACCTGTTTATTGCTCTGCAGTAAAATTATAAATAAAGGGAATGATAACCACAAAATTCAAGACAGGACTACCTTCAATGCTTAACGCATATTAAAGACATTTTGGGGAGGCAGGTGGGAAGAACGCAGGGTTGGGCAGGGGCATCGGAACTTCAAAGTTAAGGGTCAAGTTCCACTTCTTGGCCTGGGTAGTGGCTACCCAAGTCTATAGGAGTGTTCATGGTTTTTGTGGTTTCCTGTTCATCCCCAATATGTTCAAGTATTATTAATATATCTCAAGACTTAGGGACCACAGGGCTTGGCCCCTGGGCACCCCATGTAATAGTCAGGTCAGGTGCCCGGCACACTGTGGGGCCTTGGAAATGCCCAGCCTCCCTGCAAGGAAACAGACCAGCCCTGACCTGGAAGCATGGCTCCACCTGAAGTCCCTCTCTTGCCAAACCAAATCCAGAGGCCTCCAGCGTTCCCTGGCAGCCTTCTCCTCCCAGGCTGGGTTAGGACTTCTGGATCTCACCCCACCCCTGTCCTGAGATGTGGGCCTTGGACTCTGCAGACCTCAGCCTCCTCATTAGTCCACGGCTGCCCTCCAAGGCCTCCAAGCGCCCTGTGGTAGGGGGCTTTGTGCCTCTCCAGGCATCTGAAAACAAGAGCCATCAGAGGCTGGAAGTTGGGAGCCACCCAGACCACATCCTGTTTGGCTGCGGCGCCGATTCAGTCGTGCCAATATTGCGGAACAAAAGAACGTTCTGCACAGGCTTCAGGGGGAGACGCCACAGTAGAGAAGGAACCCGACAGGGCTCTGGCCAGGGGCACAACGGCCCACGCGCCCGCCAGCTCGGCCCACACTCAGCCCACGGCTGACGGCCGGTTGTGCCCAGGGCCCTGCGTTTGCCCACCTCTACCCCGAACGGCTCAGGCTTTCAAATGCTTGGTAAGTGAATGACTGCCCACATGCTTTTGAGCGGGATGAGGACACGACAGGGTAGATGAGTCTTGAGTGACGGGGAGTTGCTGGGAGGACAGGAGAGCAAACCCCCGTGAGGCCTGGCCTCAGTGGCCACCCTGCTCTCTGGGGGGGGGGGGGGGTGCCTTAAGCAGGAATAAAGGCCCCCTGGAAGTCTAGCACCCCCAAACCTGGCCTCTTCTAGAAAAACCCTCCACAAACATGCCGGCTCCACCTGAAGAGCTGAGGAAGGGCCTGGAGGTGTGACTTCTCCAACATCCCTGAACCACTTCCACGGGGCCCGTTGTGCGTTTTGACTGAAATGGGCCATGAGTCTCAGTCAGGCACCAGATCTGCATGCCTGGGATGGAGAAGCAGAGCGATGAGGTGAAGAACCTTCTGGAAAGCCCAGGCAGCAGGGAAGGGGCTTGTGAGTGGCCCTGGTGCCGTCAGGACACCAAAGTGGCTGTCTGGCTCTTTGTCACATCACGGGAGAAGGGCGACACCGGACGTTCACCAGCCTCTGGTGCTCACCCAGCAGAAGGACCGTAAGCTCTGGTCCGAAGAGTTAACACGTCAGCTGGGCAGTGCCACTTGTCCCGCCCGAGCAGCTGCAGGCGCGGTGCTAACGCGCTGTCGCTGGACTGCATGGGGGCGGGAGCCCAGCTCCCACCCTCTCCTATCGCAGGGCCTTGGGCAGGCAGCAGACCTGCCTCGTCTCTACCAGGGGCCGTTGTGGGGAGTGAGTGACACGCAGGAAGCTCTCACAAAGCTCCAGGTCCAGTCGGAGCGACTTACGTGCTCACAGTCGTGTTTCTCTGATGGTGAACCAGACGGGCGCACAGACTACCCAGGACCACTCCCAACTCGACTGCTCCTCCCACCTGCCACCCCCTTGTCACTTTCCAGCTGAATCTCACCCCTTTACGCACATTCAGGCTTATCTTCCAATGTATCCACCTGACAAAATTTCAGATCCAGCTCACAAGGAACAAAGCATGAGCCCCAGTCCTCCCAGAGCCCCCCCACCTGCCCACCCAGATCGCACCCCTGATGATCATGGAGCACCTGGCTACTCAAAGTGCCATCCGGACCAGCAGCCTCTTCCCCAGGCCAGAATCTGCACGTTCGAGAGACCCCAGGCGATTCCTGTGCACACAGATTTGAGCTGGGCTGGGCGGGAACACGGCAGGTGCAGCGGAGTCCTGCAGTTATTGTCTGCTCTCCTGAGCTGGGTCCTAGAAGAAAGCCTTTTCTTCTAAGATGACTAACTCAGGTGCAGGGCCGGTGCCTGCGGGCGAGTGTGACTTCCTGGGGTGGGTGTGTAACTGTGCCTGCTCCCTGTGCCAGCTCGTGGCATGAGGAGAAGACAGCTAAAGGAGCAGATGGCTCAGCGTGGCCGCGTACTCTGTGCGTGCTTTATTCAGCCGTCTTCGGGGGAGAGACAATCTCATCCTGTTTCCCACGCATCAATCCTGGGCCCCGAGTGGGTAACAGGACTAGCAGGGCCCTGGGCCATCATCATGAACACCTGGCCCCGCCCCCAAGCCTAATAGCCGGGCTCTGCATTTCGGAGCAGTTTATAAAGGGGCCCATTGTCCCAGGCTCTGCTCCCTTTCTCAGGTTCACCTGGCAGACACGATGGCATTTGTGTTTGGAAACCCGCTCCTGCACCAGCCGGGAGGGCAGCTCACCTGTAAACGTCTGGTCCCGGACAGAACAAAGAACGCGCTGTGGGCAAGAGACAGGCCCCGGCCTGACCCCGAGTGGGCTGGGCCCCCAGCGCCCGGCTTTGAGGAACTGGGCGGCTGCTGGCCAGGGTGTGGAAGCCCTGGGCTTCTCCCTGGCAGGGGGCACCCGGATCCCGACACCAGCCGTGGTCACTGCATGAAGCAGACATGGGCGCAGAGGGCCACGCCGGCCCCAGAGCTGCATTATGAAACCCCGCCACCCACTGGCCTTCCCTGCCACTCTAAATAAACTCCTTTAGAACAGAGTTAGAGTCATAGAAAAGTTGTGGTGAAAATGGCCTATTTGTATGTATGACATTGACACAAACCAAATGGCAATCACAAAACAAAAATCCAGAGCTGAGACACGAAACATAAAAAAAAGAGGAAATTGAGAAAAATGATACAAAAGTTGTGAAGATAACAGTTTTGAGCAGGTATTTGTAAGTGACCTTCAACTGGATGTGCCCGATGTTTTTCTCATGGTTACTCTGGGGTTGTGGATTTTGGGGAGAAAGACCACAAAGTGAGGGACCCTTCTCATCTCTTCCAATCAAAGGCACACACTTGCTACAACCTACCATGGTTGATGCTGACCTTGGTCAGCTGGCCTCCTTCTCTTAACCTCTTTCTCCGGGCCCCACCTCCCTCTCTGCTGAAAGATTTCCCCACCTCCACCGCCAGCCAGAGCGTATAAACACAAGCGCCTCTATTTGTAAGAAAACAAGCAAAGAAAAGTGCACAGCACAAGTCCCAGAGCACAGAGCCCTGGCTTAGCTGTAGGCAGCTCTACGTCAAACATACAGCAACCTCTTCACCACATACACACACTCCCTGCTCCCTCATAAGGACTGAAGCTAGAGACACAGATCAACAGGAGTTTAAAACTGAGTGACTGGATAAATAAAGCTGATGACCTGGCCTTGTTTATAAAACGGCAATTTCTACGAGAGCCCAGATACCAGCTGCCCTGCGCAGGCTCCTGACACACACACCTGGCCAGGTGAGCTGGTGCTGGGTGAATGGGTTACCTGATGAGGTCCCACAAGTCTATGGTGTCCTTCACAAGGGTGACCAGAGGCGAGCCCCTAACCCTAGGGGATGCAGGCACATAGAAAGGACATGTAGGTCCCAGGCCCTGCACTCAGCTGAGACCCATCCCGAGTCATCGTTCCCTTCGGAGAGCTCAGTGTCTGTGTGGGACTTGAACACTGGGCTGAGGACACCTGCAGATGGAGGCCGGAGGATTCACTCTCGGGACAACTAACTACCCAGCCAGAACCCAGCGCTGTGTCTGCCTGCCGAGGAGCCCCCAACACACAGCTGCCGCCTCCACTGGGAACGAAGGCTCGGTCCCTGAACAGCACCAGTTCAGAGACATCCAATCCACACCAGCCTTCACCCCTCTGGTCCCCGAGCCCTGAGAGGTACCAGGCAGCTGCTTGCTGGGCCCTGCTCGCCAGCTCCCAGGGGCAGGGCCAGGCACATGTCACACGCCTGTCATCAGGGTAAGTTTTATGATTTTCCCCATTACAAATCACCACGTGTCCCGGTGCTCCCCCCCCACCCCCCCAGTGTGGGCACACTGCCTGCCTCAGACCCCCCTCACTCTCCTCCCTGTCCTCTCACCATGGCCAACACCAGCTGGTGAATGGCAGGGCGCCGAGGGGAGTGGGGAGGAGAGGGAAGCAGGGAGCTGAGCCAGGCAGTGAGCCCCTTGCTGTGTCTGAGGGAGAAAGCTCCTCCATGGAGGAGAGGAAGCCCCAGGCACCGGGCAGCTGAAGGCCCTGGGCAGCAGGGCCAGCCACCACTAACACAGAAGCCTCAGGGCTGATCAAGCTAAAGATTCCAGAAGCCTCGGAGCTCCAAGGGGCCCAGCACACCTTGAGCTGTAATTCAGGACATCAGTGTTAGCTGAGAGCTGAGTGTCCACAGATGAGCCCCTGGCCACTTCACCCAATGCAGCGTTTGAGGGGCAGCAAACTGGTCAAGTTCAGGATCCTCACAAAACTTTACATGACTGTTTCCCACGGCTGGAAAGGAGCGGACCTGCTGAGATAAGTGAACACATTCCTTCTCCAAGATTCAGGCACTTGTGATGGGCTCAGCCCATAGGGCAGTGGTGCCTACAGCCCTCCCCGTCCCCAGGCTAGAGAGGGGAGAGGGGCCTCAGGCAGCCTGCACCCAGCAGCCGAGGGATGCAAGAAAAACACTCCCCGTCTGTCCGCCGGGTCTGCACTGTGCACTCCTCCCAAAAGCTGGATCCCTTCCACACTGGTACCCGCCACATAACGCCAACAGATTCGGGCTGCAAGGGAAGCCGTCTACCTTGCTGGGGTGCTGCTGAAATCCCATCTGAGACGTAGGACTGGAAGGAAAGCTTGAAACTGGAGTGCACAGGAGTGACAAGTATGTGGACTCCCATCAATGCCAGGGCCGTGAGGAAGTGAAGATGGCATTGCTCCTGGCGGGCATGGCTAAGTAGCTGGATGGCACACAGGTGACCTCAGTGTGGCCTGCCCCCCTCGACTGACGGTTGAAGCGGAGCGGCAGGTTGCGAGAGAGAGCACACCTGACCCCATTTCTGAAATAACGCCCACGTGACTTATCTCACAGCAGTGAGTTACAGGTTGTCAGATGACTCTTAATTTCTTCTACAGGGTCTATTTTCTGAATCTATAAGCATGGATTACTCATAAACCAACAGAAAGCACAATCCATGGGCAATCTTTAGGGTCACTGGGTGGCTTCTCTTCTCAAATTTCACGCTTACAGGGTGATGATGGTGTTTTATATGTGTTATTCATGACAATGGACTTGAACGCCATCGACCCTTTAAACAGTGTGCAGGGGGAAGGCGGCTTTCTGGGAGTCATGCCAGAGGAGGCTTGTTCCCAATTTCACGGAAGGAAATCCTCCTTCTAAACGGTCTGTTAGATACAAGCTCCCCAGGCACATGTGGAATGGGAGAAATCCACGATGTCTGAAACAACTCGCTGGAGTTTTCATTTTTACTACAAGCAGATTTTTGTACCTAAGAATCGTCAAAAACACTTCACAGACAATCAAAGCAAACAAATAGTTTGAAAAGGGCAGGCCGACCAACAAGCACGCGAAGAGATGCTTGACGCCACTCATCAGTAGGGAATGCAAGTCAAAACCACAAGGCGACATCACCGGCCACCCACAAGGATGAGGACCATCGAATAACCCTATGCATTGCCCATGGGAGCGTAAAACGCTATGGCTGCTGTGGAAAACAGGATGGAGGTTTCAAAAAAAAATAAAAGAATTATCATATGATAAAGTAATCCCATCTCTGGGTGTGGACGAAAGGGGCCACATGCGAACCTGACAAGCTCAGGGGAGGCCTGCATGGAGGTCTTTCAAACTCAGAGACCTAAAGTAACCACAAAGGATGGTCTGAATTAAACTTTAACTAAAAGCAGTTATGGTGGGTTAGTTACATCCTAGGCTGGTATCTTCACTGACAAGGTCAACCTTTACCTTAACTGAGCCTATCTGTCTTTTTGCATCTATGATAACATACCCTTGAAAATTCTGGGTGACTTGTAACTTCCCTTTTTCTGGAGCCCCTGGGCACAACCTACTGTGCCTGGGCACCAGGACAGATACCACAAATTCCTTTATTGTTATCATGTTAATTGTTCCTGCACCCACCTAAGTATGTGTCTATCATTTTACTTTTTATCCAATCCCAGGGTCCCCCCCACCACCACCACTTTGCTTTCTCCTGCCTCTCTAGTCTACCACCAATGGATTTCATGTAACCCACCTACGCCCGCCCCTTCCTTTCTCCAGAGAATTATCTCAATTCGTTGAGGTTCTGCTTCCCGGCATATGTCAACAGTTTGGCTCAAATAAACTCCCAAAAATTCTTTACAGGTTTCAATGGTTTTTACGTTAACAGGGTATATATCCGAAAAAACTGAAAGTGGGGCCTCAAGCAGGTATTTGCACACCCAGGTCCACAGCAGCTCTATTCACAACAGCCAAGAGGTGCAGACCAAAGGCCCATGGACAGATAAGCAAAATGTGGTCCAGGCACACAGGGGACTAGCATTCAGCCTTGAAGAAAAGAACTCTTTTAACAGAGGCTGCAACAAGGATGAACGTCGAGGACATTATGCTGAGTGAAATAAGCGAGTCAAAAAGACAAGTACTGTATGACCCTACTTATACAAGCTACCTGGAACAGTCAAATGCACAGAAACAGAAAGCAGAAAGGTGATGGTGACCAAGGGGGGTGGGGATGGGAGAGGGAGGGGGGTGGAGGTGGGGGAGGGGGTGCTGTTTAATGGCAAGACAGTTTTGCAAGATGAAAACATTCTGAAGATCTGTTACACAGCAATGTGAATACACTTCACAGGACTGAACTGCACACTTCACTGTTGGGACAGTGTGAACTCCGAGAAAGAAGACACCTACTAAGAAAGGCTCCTGGTGGCTAGCTGAACTCAAATTAAAATAAAATAAAGAACTAAAACAGAGCCTAGTGGCCACTTGTACACAGGGGCCTCTCACACAAAAGGCACTTCAGGGAGAAGCCCGAACTGCCTGCCTGCACTGTGTCTCTGCCCTCTGAGCCAGCCCTTATAAAGGAGTTCCTGGAATCCTATTTCAACCAATAGGACTGAGGCTTTTCCCATAAAATTGGAACTTCACAGTTCCAACCAACCAGAGCAGTTCTATTCTGACCAAGCAGGTCTCTTTTGGGCCAATCAAACTTTAAGAGTTTGGAGTCCTCATTTGTATGAGGACAGACCTAGCAGGGACCAGGTGCGGCGACTTCTGTCCATAGAAGCTGGCTCCCTGACTGCATTCCCCTGCTGGAGCTGGAACACCAAAGATGTCTCACTGGACCAGAGCCAAGCAGATCAGCACAGGGCAAAGCGGACCACCCATGGAGGAGCGAGCAGAGTAGAGCTGTCTAGCCTGAGAGGGGCCTGGCCCCAGGGAACTGGCCCGAGGGCTGCCTCACACTCGTGCTGTATCACAGCTGAGCTGTTTGCACGGAATAAAGTTTCCTTCTTCACCCCACCCCAAACAGGGGATTTTTGTTAGGGTTGAATTGGTGACAATGACCATCAGTTGACAATGGTAAATCTTATGTGATTTTTTTTTTAACCACAATTAAAAATGAATAATTAAAAATCCTTAGAAAGAGAGGGCGGTCCTAAACAGTAGCTTATCCTGTGTTCTTCCTGTAGTTTCTGGCAGCACCTTGCAGCAACACACATGTAAC